ATCCATTCTTCGGTTGAGGGGCATCTAAGCTGATTCCAGTTTCTGACTATTACAAATAATGCTGCTATGAACATGGTTGAACATATGTCCTTGTTATATGAATGTGCTTCTTTTGGGTATATGCCTAGGAGTAGAATTGCTGGATCTTGTGGTAGACTCAGTAACTTTATGTTTTTATTCCCAGATGAGTATTTTAAAAACCTGCACCTTTAAATTTTAATGCCCATGATTTTCTGCCCCCTGCAGGTTAATGTGAGAAAAGCAGACTGAATTATTGCTGGCTGACTTTGCTAGATACTTAATTGATAACCAGGTCATCTCAATGTTCCTGAAGCCAAGTATGGGCATTGCCAAAGTCTTTTTTTTCTGATATGTTTATTTTTGTAGATAACCTAATAAAATATTTGAATATCAGAGCTGGAGAGATGGCTCAGCGGTTAAGAGCACCGGCTGCGCTTTCAGGGATCCTTAGTTCATTTCCCAGCAACCACATGGCAGTTCACAACCCTCTATAATGGGATCTGATGTCCTCTTCTGGCATGGAGGCATACATGTAAATGAGCACTCATACATAAATAAATAAAGTTAAAATATTTGAATATCCTTTATGTGGTGGTTTGAAAGAAAATAGCCCCCAAAGAGAGTAGTACTATTAGGAGGCGTAACCTTGTTGGAGGAAGTATGTCACTGTGGGGGTGGGCTTTGAGGTCTCTTTTGCTCAAGCATCCTTCCATGTGATATAATCAGTCAACTTCCTGTTGCCTTGTGGTCAAGATGTAGCCAGTACCACATTATCTGATGATAATGGACTGAACCTCTGAAACTGTAAGCAAGCCTCCTCAATCAAATGTTTTCTTTATGAAAGTTGCCATGGTCGTGTTGTCTCTTCACAGCAATAAAAACCCTAAGATACCTTATCTGAAATTTTTGGGCTACATGTACTTAATATTTTTTATTTTTGTCATTGTTTGGATTAGGGAATATGTGTGTAGACTTTACTGATTGAAAATGCCTGTTTTGAAAATCCAAAACTGAAAAATTGTAATGTTTTTCATATTAAATATTCCCACCCTGTGCCAGCATCCTCTTAGGTTCTTTTTTGGAATTGAAGATTGCCCCATACATTAGCAGTTTGATACTGTGTTTATCTCCTTGCCTATTTAGACTTGCAAAATAATGTTTATTTAAAAGCATGGAAGAGCTTTTTCTCCAGGAGACAAAGTTTAGTACTTGAATTCTGCACATACTCTTTGAGTCCTGTGTTATCAATAACTGTCCTGAGCGAAACGTTATAGACTATAGACTACTATTTTAGTTTTATGTTGCACTGGCTGATCGTGGCTCACATGCTTGGTCTCTATCCTCAGTCCCTTGCTCCTTTTGTCATACAGGAGCACACACAGGTTCTGTTCCCAACAATACATGGCATCGTAGCGGCCTGCTTCACAGTGATTGGGCTGGTGTTGGAGTGTGGGTGCCATTACAAAATACAGGAGCTGCCCCCATGGTGGGATGCTGACTTGAAGTATGGAAAGATTTAAAACTGGAGATCAGATGTCTACTATAGAAATAGTACTTGGACAATCCTTCCAAGATGTCTTAGAGAGGACTCATCTCGGATACTATCCTGTTGCTGCGAAGAGACATCATGACCAAGGCAACTCATAAAAGAAAATGTTTAATTGGGGGTTTCCTTACAGTTTCAGAGGCTTAGTCCATAACCACTGTGTCCAGAAGCAGACAGGCATGTTGCTAGAGCAGTATCTGAGAGCTTTACATCCTGATCCACAGGCAGCAGGCAGAAAAACACAGATACTGGGCCTGGTGTGGGCTTTTGAAACCTGAAAGCTCACCCCAGTGACACACTTCAACTTCCTTCAACAAGGCCACACTTCCTAATCTTTTCCAAACAGTTCCAACCAATGGGGGACCAAACATTCAGGCCTATGAGCCTATGGGGGGTGGGCATCTTTATTCAAACTACCACATTCCACTTCCTGCCCCCATGGAAGCCATAACACAATGTAAAATGCATTTAGTCCAACTTCAAAAGTCCCCGTAGTCTATCACAGTCTCAACACTGTTTAAAAGTTCAAAGTTCAGTCTCTTCTAAGGACTGAAGGCAAACTCTCAACTCTAACCCCCATAAAATCAAAATCAAAAAGCAGATCAAATACTTTGAACATACAATGGGACTGAATATACATTACCGTTCCAAAAGAGGGAAAGGGGACCGTAGTGAGGAAACACTGGACCAAAGCAAGATCCAAACCCAGCAGGACGATCTAAGTCACACAACGCTATGCCTGATGTTGGAAGGTTATTAGATGGCTCTCCCCTTCCAGCTTTGTTGACTACAGCACACTTCTTGATTTCGGGCTGGCTCCACACCCTGTACACAGCTCTCCTTGGCAAGTATCCCGCATTTCTGATATCGCCAATATCTTGGCGTATCCAAGGCAATCCAGGCTTCACCTGCAAGCTTTACCCAGTGGTCTTTTCGGACCTCATGCTGGGACTCCCCTGCCACATACCTTGCTCTTTGGCTTTTCTTAAGGTACCAAAGCTATTGCTCAGTGAGCTTTTCCACCCCTTGAGTGTATCAAGGGCAATCTCTGCTTCCAGAAACCTACTTGAATTCTGCTTGTCGGTCCAAAGTGTAGTTTCTGAACAGGCTTATTTGTATTACTTTTGCTCCTTTAATAGTTCTTTGTGTGGGCCACTGTTTTGGTACTGCCATGCTAATGATTATTATAATTGTCCACTTCCCCCCCAAGACAGGGTTTCTCTGTGGCTTTGGAGGCTGTCCTGGAACTAGCTCTTCAAGACCAGGCTGGTCTCGAACTCACAGAGATTTGACCGCCTCTGCCTCCCGAAGGCTGGGATTAAAGGCAAGCTCCACCAATGCCCGGCTTATAACCGGCTTATAATTGTTAATTACCTTTAAAAGTTAGTATACAGCAAACCCCGTGTCAAGTGCCTCTGTAATGTGCATGTAGCTACACATGGATCTCATTGCTGCATGAGCTTTTCTTACATGTATTGTGGTACTGACTACGTGTTCAGCAGTGTGCATTTTTTCTTCCTGCCTGTCCATGTGCCCTTCATCTGCTGGCTGGCGTCATGCTAGGAGGGGCACCGGGACAGGATGAGGGGAATGGCATTTACTTACAGGAAGAGGAGGAAGCCTTCCCCAGTCCTCAGTGCATCAGAATCTGTGACACTGGGAATGGGTGGGTATACTGTGGCTGGGGTGAGTCAGGTGTACAGTTTAAGAGAGAGGGCACCAGAAAACTCACTAATCAAATCATCTGTCAATACAACGTTTTGAAAAGGTCAGAATCAATGCAAATACAACCTATGATAACAGTACCAAAAGTTAAACAAGGCAAGTTCAGTGGCTGAATTACCCATGCAGAGCAACTCTGGAACCTTTCTAGTCTCAAGTTTACTGTTTTGGGCTGGGTGTCGTGGTGGTGTACACCTTAATCCCAGCACTCTGGAGGCAGAGGCAAGTGGGTCTTTGTGAGTTTGAGACCAATCTGGTTTGCATAGTGAGCTCCAGGACAGCCAGAGCTATATATTGAGACCTTGCCTCAAAAAAAATTTTTTTTTAATTCCCTTTGATTTTACAAATTAGATTGAATTATGTATTAGTTTGTCTTCTTGTGAGAAAATGCCTGAGAAAAGCAGCTTGAGAAGAGAAGGGCTTATTTTAGCTCACTAGTGGAGAGGATGCACCTTGGACTTGGTGTTAGGAGCTTGAGGTGACGGGTCATACTGTATCCATAGTCGGGAAGTCAGGAAGCAGGACAGGGCTCTAGGACCCCAGGGCCTGCCCTGCTGACACACCTCCTCTCTTGAGGCCCCATCTCCTAAGGGTTCCACAACCTTTCAAAGACAGAGCCACCAGGTAGGGCCTATGGCTGGAATGTAAAAGCAGGCTTATGTGAGCTATTTGACATTCAAACCTTAATCAAATACAACGGCAGTTTTGAGTGGCTTCTTTGATTTTCTCCTCTTATGTTTTCTCTGAGCTGGCCTTTAGATGGGGCATGGGCAGGGAAAGGTGAGCACTGAAGATGGTTGCCTCTCTCTAGGAATTTGGTCTTCTTAACAGGGGGCTCTGTTTCAGGGAAGGAACATAGTGGGTTTGGAAGTCTCTGTGTTGTTGTTGGTTAGGTCTCCACATAGAAACAGAGCTGTTTGTCCTGGAGACTGTAGAACCCAGGCTGGCTTGGAACTCCCAGCCCCCTTGTCTCAGCCTCCTGAGGTCTGGGATCGAAGGCAGTATACTGCCCTACCCCATGACACTGGGTGCTTAAAGCTCATGTCAGTGAGTACAGGGTTAGAAAAAGCTGCACCGAGTTTCCTGCCTTGGCTACCACCTGGAAGGAGGAAGAATCGACTTTCATTAGGGCATTTGATTTGCTCCTGTATGGATTATCTGCAAAGGGAGCTAAGGAACACACAGTCTCTCCTGTTGGCTGGTGTGCAGCGCTTAAAATCCTTCATCTACCTTCTGCTGACTTATCTGTGCTGCATTTTAAAGATAGGTTTTTGTTTTGTTGAGACAAGATCTCCTGTTGCCCAGGCTGGGCTTAAACTTGGTCTTAGCTGAAGATGGCCTTGACTAGCGACTGTCCTGTTTCCTCCTAAGTGCTGGCATTGTAGGCATGCTTGTTTTTAGTATAAAGGTAGATGATGGTGGGACCCCATTCTTCTGCTCTGTCTTAATTGTTTGGAGACGGAGATGGAGAGTAGGAGATGGAAGCTGAGAGATGGGCACATTTCTCAGTACATGTTTTGGCATTCTAATTCGGTGGTTTTTATTGGCAATCCCAGAGTTCTCTTTCGTTTTTTCCCAAGATAGCCATATCACGTCAACATACAGAAAGAAAGTATATGGCTGTAACCTCAAAGACTTTGTTCTAGTTGGGACAGTGGAGCAGCTCTAGGAGGATTTAGCTTAGCTTTCACATTTGACATGATGTTTTTTTGTTTTTTTTTTTTTTTCCTTAAGCCCCAGGTCTGCTGAAGACAGAGCCAGTGGCCGAGGAAGGAGAGGATGCTGCAGCCATGCTCAGCACCCCGGGAAACCTGTCAGAGGAGGAGCAAAATGAGCTGAGACAGGAACTTGCCAATGTGAGGGCCATTCTTCCTTGACCTTTGCCTTCAGTGTTCAGCCTTGTGGTTTCCAAAGCCACTGGTAATGGTGTACGGTAAAAGGCTCAAGGAGCTTGTGCAGCCTAGAGTCTCCACAGGGCAGAGGAGAGAGTGACTCTAGTTATTCTTCAGGTGGATCTGGGAGTCAGATGCAGTGGGAAGTGGGGGAGAGGTACAACGTCAGACCCTAGAAGCAAGTGCATACCACTCATCCTTGCTGTTGCATTGTGGATATAGGCCAGCTTCCTCCCTCTCCTTTTTCTTTGCTTCAGACTTCAGCCCAACTTCCAGACAGAGTCCCAGCTCCCTCTTTCTATAGCTTCCTTTTATAAAATTCTGTTGTTGCTGTTTTTTGTTTTGTTTTGTTTCGTTATGACAGGGTTTCTCTGTGCAGCTCTGGCTGTACTGGAACTTGCTCTGTAGACTAGGCTGACCTCAGACTCAGAGATCTGCCTGCCTCTGCCTCCTGCCCCCTGCCTCCTGCCTCCTGCCTCCTGAGTCCTGGGATTTAAGGTGTGTGCCACCACTGCCTGGCCTATAAAGTTCTTAAAATGGTCTGTTTCAGTGTACAGTTCTCGACATTTAGCACATTTTGTGACTTGTAACTGTCAACACTTTCAAGTTCTGAAGTTATTTTCCCCTGTTCCAAGGAGCCCCGCCCCTTGTATTCTCTGAGGAGCCACTTAGCCTCCACCTCTCAGCTGTTTTTTTTTCCCCCCTCTGTGGATTTAACTGTTTTCTGGATATTTCACATATAACATGTGACTTCAGTACAGTGGATGTTAGAATGACTTGAGTATTACTCCTGTAAAAGGTTGAAGCCCCAAAGCTTCTGAGATAACTGAGCAGGATAACTGACAACATAGAGAATGGCTCTGCCAGAGAAAGCACGGTGTACCCTGCTTACTAAACAATGTTGTTTTTAATACACAGATAAAAGTTAATAAAAAAAATTAAGTGTAGCCATGCATGATCGTGCACACCTTTAATACTACTAGCACTTGAGAGATAGAAGCAGGTGGATCTCTGCAGAATTTTTTTCTTTGTTTGTTTGTTTGTTTGTTTTGAGACAGGATTTCTCCATGTAGCCCTGGCTGTCCCGGAACTCCTTATGTAGACCAGGCTAGCCTGGAACTCAGAGATCCACCTGCCTTTGCCTCCCAAGTGCTAGGATTAAAGACATGTGCCACCACCACCTGGCAAGATCTCTGTGAATTTGAGGCCAACCTGGTCTATTTAGAGAGTGCCAGCCAGCCGACAATGCATAGTGAGATTCTTGTCTTGAACGATCAAACAAACATACCACCTTCCTGAAAGTAATGATAGCATCTGAGCATGGCTTGCGTTGATGTTCAATAACTACAGTGCAGCTTTTGCTGTATTTTCTCCTCAACCCTGTTCTTCATAGGTGGAAGAAGAAATCCAGACTCTGTCTCAAGTGTTGGCAGCAAAAGAGAAACATCTCGCAGAGATTAAGCGGAAACTTGGGATCAATTCACTTCAGGAATTCAAGCAGAACATCGCCAAGGGGTGGCAAGATGTGACAGCAACCTCTGCGTATGTTCCCTTGATTGTACACATTTCATGACAATGTGAAGGATGCTTTTGCACCTTTTCTTTGGGGAGAAGGAGAGGAGGGGGTGAGGATGTTTCCACCACTTTTCTTTGAACCACACAGCCTTTTCTGAACAGTCTAAAGAATAGAGAGCAAAACACTCATGTACAGGTTAAGGGAATCATATTCAAGTTTCAAAACTGTTGGGTGGTATTCCTCCCTTCCTGTTTTTTTTTTTTTTGTCTTCCCAAGGTTTTAATTCCTCACAATCAGATAATATTTAATATTAAATGGAAAATGCTAGACATAAGACTCATGACTTTTTAAATTGCATGGCATTCTGTGTAACATGACTAACTTTTGTATAGCTTTGAACCTGACTCATCCTCTTTTCCATTGTATCCCTTGTATATATCACCCAATCCTTATTTATTTAGTGGCTATTTAAGAGAAGATGAGTTATAGATAGGGTTCATTGTAAGCTACAATTATTGGCATCCTCTAGTGACCTTAGAACATACTGCCATCAGTTTAGGGAGGGGACTACTGGATATTGGATTTTCCAGTATGCACACAGTGATATTTAGTTCTCAGAATAACCGAGTAGATTAGGTGATAAGATAACCCCCAATAAGGAATAGGCTCAGACAAGTGACATTTGGAGGTTACAAATCACTCAAAGTGGTGGAATCAGGATTTGAACTCAGGTTTGTCCATCTGTATAGCTGGTCATTTTTTACTTTGCTCTAATAGCCTAAGATTTTTCCCATCATAGTCTCTCATGGATGCTAATATCAGAGGCCAATTCCTTAGAATTCTGGTTTTGTGATCACACAGATTATGATACAGCATTATTACCATGCAGGTGCAGCTTTTATTCCTGGTGTGGGAGGAATAGGCTTCTAGCAGTAGATCTACCTTTTGTGTTTGATTTTAGCTTGTGAGTTACCAAGATTAGGAGCCACTGACAACAGTTGCCGTGAGGCCATCCATTCCTCACTTGACAGTGTCTGAGCGGACCCTGACTGTGTCTTCCTCCCTCTCCCTCCCTGTGCTTGGAATTGAACCTGTGGCCTTGCTCATCTGGGCAATGCTCTACCACTGATCTACATCACTAGACCAATACACAACTCTTTTGTTTGATTTTTTTTTCCCATATTAGTTGCCAGAGGAAAACATGTAAGGAACTAATCTTTGACTATACTAACCATAAACCATGTTTGTTACTAGTATTTGATCTTGATGTTGTAAGAAAAAAAAATACCCACCATTAATTTCTGCAGTGCGGAAGCTTGACCCTTTTGGTAGATTCCATGTTTTCATTTGGTTGATAGTTACAAAGAGGAGTATCATTTCTATTTTTATGTTACAGCAAATGTAATGTCTTAGTTAGGGCTTCTATTGCAGGGAAGAGACACCGTGACCATGGCAACTCTTGCAAAGGAAAACATTTAATTGGATGTCTTACAGTTTCAGAGGTTCAGTCCATTATTTCATGGCCCTCTGCAGGCAGACATGGTGCTGGAGAAGGAGCTGAGAGTTCTACATCTGGCAGGCAACAAGAAGTGAACTGAGACACGGGGTGTGGCTTGAGTATATAAGACCTCAAAGCCTGCCTCCACAGTGACACACTTCCTCCAACAAGACCACAACTACTCCAACAAAGCCACACCTCCTAGTGGTGCCCCCCTTTGGGGGGCTATTTTCATTCAAACCACCACACACACTATAATAATTTTGTGTATTGGTATCTTTTATATGAAAGTCAGACAAGTTCAGCTCCAGCAAACTAAAAAAACCTTTTTTGTATGCCTATTAAATTTATTTGGATTCTACAATTTACATGAACTATACAGGGGAACTTCTTTCAAATAGATGAAAATATCTCAAGATAATTTGGCTCTATCCTGCAATATTTTTTGTCTATAATCACAAAGTTCAGTATTTTTTGCCTTGTAGAATCTTGGTGTGTATGTGTGTCTAAGTGTGGGGGTTAAAGCAACTTCACTGTTGTTTCTCAGGTGCCAGCCATTTTTTTAAAAAATTTAAATTTTATTATTTTTTATTTTTTTGAGGCAGGGTCTCTCACTATTCTGGAACTCATTAAGAAGGCTAGGTCAGCTGGCCAGACCCTTTTGTCTACTTCTTCAGCACTTGGACTACACACCAGAACTACCATACTACTTTTCTTACATGGGTTTGTGGCCCAGACTCAGATCCTTAGAAGGCAAGCACTTTGTTGACTGAGTTACCTGCCCAGGGCCTGGCCTTGTAGACTTTGAATACATGTGCATCTTTCTTTTGGGAGGGGACAGGACTTTGTGAGCCCCACCCTAACTACTTGGTTCATTTCTTTCTAAGCCCCTGTCCAGGGCACTGTAGAAGATCATGGTGGAGGGATTATTGCTGCCCTGATGGAAAACATTAGAAGTTCTTAAAACTGTTCTAAACTTGAGTTTTTCAACAGGTGATGACACTGCACTAGAATTTATAGAAAAGCCTAGCTGACATTTCCCCCCTTGTTTATCTGTAGATATAAGAAGACGTCTGAAACCTTATCTCAGGCTGGACAGAAGGCTTCAGCTGCATTTTTATCCGTTGGTTCAGTCATCACCAAAAAGCTGGAAGATGTAAAGTATGTATACATTTTTCCCTTGCTCACCCAGCAGTTGGCAAACTGAACTGGTGCTGTGATCATTGTTGGTTCCTGCCTGTGGGTCAGGGTGCTGTCATGTTCCCTTCTGTTAGAGTAAGGAAGTGTTCTCCTTCACACCAAAGCTTGGAGTTGTTGCCTGAATTCTTCTAGGCCTAGTATTCTAACCTCCAAATGAGCATCTTGTTGAGTCCCTTTAAGGGCTGTTGAAAAATTCTGGTTGCAAACTTTTACATCTCAGCCTTTCTCAGTCCTGCAGTGTAAGCATGTCTCTGGTATTTACAAATGTGTGATGGTGGGCAGAGCCTGGTGTCTTTCTAGGGATGAGTACAAGTGAATTGCACGCTTGCTTGGCCTGAGGGCTTCCCTGTTTGTGTGTGACATTTGTATGTCATAATGTGGTTCCAAGGTACTTATGTGTGCACTGGTTTGTACTAACCCAAGAGCTTTACATATATTCACAATCAGGCCCAGGTCTTGACTTCTGACTTTCTTTTTTAAAACTGTGCATTTGTATTTGAGATTTAGTTTTCAGATTTTTTTCTTGTCATTTTGCAAAGATCACTTCATGGTGCATTTGTGCTTCCATCTACCACCACGATTAGAATAGTGCTGAACATGGACAACATGGCTTACATGGGCTGTACTTCTGTTGGTGTGCACACTTTCTGTTGGTCTTTTTCTAAGCCTAGATTGCATGACTTTGTGTGTTTTATGTGTGGGAACGATAGGTTTTACAACCAGAATTTTGTTAGTTGGATTGATCTGGTCAATCAATATTTTATGCTGTGTATTAGAATCCATTTCCTCATCCATCATATTTGAGAGCACTGTTGTTCTAAGCATAATATCTTAAGGATAGATTTCTGAACCCTCCGACAACCGTGTCTGGAGCACTTGCCAGATGCTCTCACTCCTTTGGATGCTGACTGACTCTTTAGTGTTTTAGGGGCTATGGAACACACTCGACTTTATACAAGTGGGTTATGTGACTGTGATGGATTGGTCAGAACTTCCTGTCTGTTTTAATGCTTCCTCTGGCTTCTTACAGACTGCAAGCCTTTTCACATTCCTTTAGGTAAGGAGAGCTGAACGCCTGCTGCTGGCTAGCAGCTGTGTGAGATGTGTGTTTGAGATGAGATGTTGATGCCTTGCAGATGTGTGTGTGTCCACCGTGTGGTTCTCCTGCAGTCACAGTAGCTTCTGCTTGAGTGCATTTCTAATTCCAATGGAGGTTTCCTCGTATACCATGTGTAATGGGCCAATTGAAAGAAGAATTTGACACTGTGGCACAAGGGATATGGAAATGATTTTTGAAGTTTCAATTATTATTATTTTTACCATGGCATACAGAATTCCTCCCTATTAATGTCTGACTTTGTTTTTTTATGCTTTTGTTTCTTTGGTGCTTTTGTAAGGATGTTGGAATTCTTCTTCATGTGGGTCCTATTATGTAATTATAATGGACTGCATATGTACTGTCTCGTGGTAGTAACTCTTCCATCTTACAAAGGTTTCAGTATGCAGACATCAGATCTTACCCACAATGCACTTTTCAGTATTTGTCTTATTAGCCTATAGACTTTACTGTTTCATTATTTCTCCACTAGCTGTTCTTTAAGCATACAGGGTAGTTCAGTGGAAAGGGGGTGTTAGAAAGTACACGTTGTGCCCTGTAGGAGTCCCTGTGATGACCCTGATTATATGATTATGTATGTAGGTTTTGGAGGAGCTAAGTGGGAGATCCTTAGACAGTAAGCAGAAAGGGTACCTCGGTCTCCATCTCTCTTCTGACTGGTGTACATCCTTGCCTTAAGGGACCCTTGATATGACTTAGCTGCTACTGTTTTTTTCTCCCATCCTGTCTCCCTTTTCTGGTTATTAATTTTTAAAGTCTGATTACAAAGTGATGAGTTTCATTATAACATTTGAATATATATGTCATTATATATTCATGTTATTCATTATGGCCCCCCTCCCCCACTGCCGCCATCTTCTCCTCTCACTGGTCTCTTTCTCCTCACCAGCGGTCCTCTGTTCTTTTGTGTTACACGAATTCTGTTATCCCCTGGTGTTTCTTTCTTTCCTCCCTCTCTTAAGATCTCCTCTTTCTCATGCTCTCCTTTCTACTCCCTCCCCTTCTTTTGGATAAGCCAATGGATACATGAAGCTCCAGTTTTGGTGACACCTAGTTCTGGAAATCAGGGTAAATCATAGAGATGCATAAACTCTCATTGTTGAACTATTTAAGGTTAAGATTATGATTTTTTTTAAAGATTTTATTTATTTATTATGTATACAACATTCTGCTTCCATGCATATCTGCACACCAGAAGAGGGCACCAGAACTCATAATGGATGGTTATGAGCCACCATGTGGTTGCTGAGAATTGAACTCAGGACCTCTGGAAGAGCGGTCAGCATTCTTAACCTCTGAGCTATCTCTCCAGCCCCAGATTATGATTTTTTTAAAAATCAAGTAACTAATGATAAGCACCTGTGGAAAAGTAGCTTAAGTGTTGGAGGCAAATGACTAAGAATTTAGTCATGTAAGCCATCCTAGCACAAGAGTGCTTGGTGTGGCCAGATGCAAAGGCCATAACCACAGAACCGACACAGCTTTTGTTAGAGTAGGTGTCCTTGAGTGGTATGGGAGAAGGAGCCAGGGCCTTGGGATGCCTTAAGAATAGAGGAGCTTGCAAGTATTTGGTCTTCAAACTGTCATGTGTGGCACTAACACAAATACAAATACAGTACTGTGTAAGGCCTGTGGAGAATGACATGCTTCATTTACAGACCATTCTTTTCCCACACTGTTAGCAAGATTAAAGCTGGTGTGTATAAGTAGAGTTCAATGTGTACCATCTTATTACATCAGAAACAGAGTTTTACTCTTGTAAGTATTTTTAGGTTACCTTATTTCACTTAGAAATATCGATTATACTGCACTATTTTTAAATTAATAAATTTTATTCTTGAGAATTTCATGCATGTATAAAATACATTCCCCAACCCACTCTTACTTCATTCCCACCACTGCCAGCTCCCCCTTCTTCTTTATAGATGTCCTTCCCATATTCTTTAGTTTTGTTTACTTTAGTGCCCTACTGAGTTTATCTAGGGCCGTCTGTGTTACCCTGGGTTTGGAATTAACCATTATGGCATTGTAGGCTCACCAGTGTGCATACAACTGAATATTATGCCTCCCCATCTCCGAGAATCTATTAGCAGTTCAGCAGTGAGACCCATGGGTCCTTTCTTCTAGGCATAGTTCCTTTGAATTAAATGGTTGCCACCACTCTATCAGGCTTACAAGGTGACATTTCATAGCCTTCTCCTTACCTTCCAGCCCTTGTATTCTTTCCTTTTCCCTTTCCCTTTCCCTTGCCCTTTCTGTTCCTTTTCCTCTCCCCTCCCATCTCCTCTCCCTTCCTTTCCTTAGCAGGGTTTCTCTGTGTAGCTTTGGAGCCTGCCCTGGAACTCCCTCTGTAGACCAGGCTAACCTCAAACTCAGAGATCTGCCTGCTTCTGCCTCCCAAGTGCTGAGATTAAAGGTGTGCACCACCACTGCCGGGGCAGCCCTTGTATTCTTTTTGCCCTCTCTTCCACAATGTTCCTTGAACTTTAAGGGAGTGGTGTAAATGTTTGTCTTGTTTTTACTGACAAATAACTAGTGTGTATTGCCATGTAGAAATCAAGTCTTTTGATGAAAACTTGAAAACAGAGGAAAGTTTCTAAACTCTGAAGGTCTTATAGATCAGAGATTAGTTTATGTCACTTAATCTGTTTCATGTTTTCAGACATATAAGGAAAACATATAACATCTTTCCAATCATGAGGGTTGGAGAGGCAAATTCTGGCCACATTCCTCCAGGAACCATCCAAGGAGATAGGCTGTTTCCCAGCATAACCCCATCTGGGGGTTCTGGTGGGAGCTAAGAGGATGGACACCTGAGATCTGTTTGCCAACTGCTCTGAAACAGATGGTGAATCCCATTAACTGTTTGTCCTGAGGCCCCCTCGTGTGGCCAACCCCAGACTAGTGACTTCATGCTGATGTTGTTTTGGATGTAGAAAGAGAAATGTACTGTTTTTGCTAATTCAAAGACTTCAGCATTTGTGTTTTCTTTTTTAAAAACACGATCAGTTAACATTTGAGATTTAGATATCTGTAATGATGTTGGCTCTGTTAGGGGAGGGATGAAGGAGAGAAAGGACAGGAGAGAGGTAAAGAGGGGAGAGGTGAGGTCAGGGAGAGAATGTATGAGAATAGGCACTCTGATGTTTTGAAAATGAGAGCTCAGCCTGGCTGGGTTCCTGGTGGGACAAGGTAATGAAAACTGACCCCTGAGGCCCCTGGGGACAATC